ATTATGTTTATCTGCAGTTAGTTACACGAATTCAAGCATGGAGCTTTAATATGTTGTGTTGATGCACAATCTACTTGTAATCTCGAATTTTTAAGTAATGTGCATCAATAAACAGTACTTCATGTATAAAAAATGGTTTTTAAGAGTTTTTGTCAAATGCTTTATAATATAGTATACTAGAAGCGTACTCGCGCAATGCAGCGAGATACATCGTGATTTTAATATTTCATTTTATTCTTTATCTCAATCGATGTTATAATATGGCTTTATGTGATATTGAGAAAGCGATGATGTTTTTATTTTTGAATAAAATATATGTTTGAAGATATAATAAAAATTTGACAAAAAAATGAACAAAATGAAACATTATGATTGGTTGAATGAGGATTGCACGGTTTGTACAAATTGAGTGTTTTGCATTTGATCGCTCCTCTATATATATATATATATAGKGTATATTTCAAATGCAACCATGTCCATTTGTACAACCAATGCAACCCAATTAATTGAGATATTTATAGAAATGATGGGAGTTCATTTATTATGATTTGAATATTTATGAAAGATGAATAGGGTTCATTGATTATGATCAATACTTTATATTAGAAAACAATCAAAACTTCTATGAAATCATATATTCATCAAATTAAATGAACGGTTGAGATTGGGTTGTATTGGTTGTACAAATGTAAAGGGTTGTATAATAACTCACCTCTATATATATATATGGGGTTGGGTTTACGTGAGACCAAGGGTTTTTCGTGAGATCCGCAAGACCAATTTATGTTCATTGATCAACTTTATAAGCTAATGATCTAATGGTCTAAAGTTGCACGGTGACAATTTTGTGATTATTAAGAAGTCTCGTGGCGTTTATGAATGTTCAGATTGTTAGATTGTAGATCTAATCCAAAAGTTGATAATTGGTCTTACGGGTCTCACGAAAAACATTTGGTCTCACATGATCCCAAGTCTATACGTGTGTGTGTGATATATGTATTTTATGTATATATATATATATATATATTTGAAATCACGTGAAACCAGTCTGTTTTTGTGAGACCCATGACACCATTTTTTTACAATTGAAACTTCACAGTAAAACACTATGAATGTAACATTCACTGTGTTTTTGTTGTAAAAGTTCAGATTTTTTTTACCTTAACAGTGTTTTGCTGTAAAGTTTCAAATATAAAAAAGTGTGTGACCCGTGTCTCAGAAAACAGCCTGGTGTCACGTGAACTCAACCACACACACATACACAAGGGTTGGGTTCCAGTGAGGATAAAAGTTAACGTAAGAAACGTAATATAGGATCTCCACCATTGAATTCAAATTAAGATAATATATACCACATCAATCCCCGTATCAAACACAATTCATAGATGATCTAGATTGCTTCTTATGTTTCTCACATTAACCTCTTTTTTACCCATAATTTTTGGCCATATATACAATACAACAAGACCTAATTTTTTATTATAAATCAAGAATAAATAGTAATGCACTTTTTTAATTACAGATCCAAACCACTTTTCATAAAAATAAAATAAAAATTACACTGATTATAACGCTCCATATTAATAAAACTTGAGATGAGTATCTCGTGTCAATTTAAATATTATAAATTCTTTTATTTTTTATATAACTTTTTAATTTAAAATATAATATAATATTTTAGATTTAAAAATTACAAATTCTATTCATATTCCCTCTTACAAAAACCTACACTTTTTTCATACGTATCTACAGTTCAGTCCACCCTTATTATAATTTTTGGTTTAGACCTTATACTTTGTTGATTTGCTGTTTTCAATCCTTTTAATATTTTCTCTATTACTCATGTTATTTTTTATTTTTTCTATTTTATATCATAATTATATTAATCTATATTATACTATATTATAAAGCATTTGACAAAAACTCTTAAAAACTATTTTTTTATATATGAAATATTGTTTATTGATGCATATTAATTAAAATTAAAGATTACAAGTAAATTGTGCGTAAGTACAACTTATTAAAGCTTTATGTTTGAATTCGTGTAACTAACTGCAGATAAACATGATCGAGAGGATAAACATCTTATTTTAAATATAAAAAATTTAAAATATAATTAGGATAATTATTGAATTCTAATAAAATATTTAATTATTACCTTTATAAAAAATATATTATTAAGCAAAAAATTAAAAAATGAATTAAATAAATATATACAAAAATTAAATAGTTAGTTTGGTACTAATATCAATATTA